GCCCCAGGGGCAGAGACATAATAATCCTCCTATCCTCCTACTTATCAGTTAGTTTAACTGCAGCCCATCCTGGACACCTGCGGTTCCCAGATACTCCTTATCCCTGTGTCCTGTTCTTCTAGAATGTTTTTCTTAAACTAGCAGGGGGGTTGGAACTAGATGATCTTAAGGTCCTTTCCAACCCTAATTATTCTATGATTCTATGATTCTATGTCACAACTATAACGATTTATCTTGTGAGAATTCTCAGTACGTTCTCTAGCTGTACTCTTTTTTCTCTATGTATCATGCACCTCAGTAATTTTCCATTGCTACTGTTACAAAGCCATCAAACTTAACATTACTTAAAACTAATTCTAAAGGTTTCAACATTCCATTTTGTGATTTTCTGCCCCCTTGTCTCAAATTACAGCCCTACCATTTGCCATGGAATGATCCAGACTGCACTGGAACAGGGGCAAGCTCCAGAACACCTGCAATACATTGATGACATTATTGTGAGGGGCGATACAGCAGAAGAAGTCTTTGAAAAAGGGAGGAAAATAATCCATATCCTGCTGAAAGCCGTTTTGCCATAAAACGGAGTAAGGTCAAGGGACCTGCACAGGAGATTCAATTTTTGGGAATAAAATGGCAAGATGGACGTAGACAGATCCCCACAGATGTGATCAACAAGATAACAGCAATGTCACCACCAACTAATAAGAAAGAAACGCAAGCTTTCTTGGGTGCAGTGGGGTTCTGGAGAATGCACATCCCAAATTACAGTTCGATTTTAAGCCTTATCTATCATGTGACCTGGAAGAAGAATGATTTTAAATGGGGCACTGAGCAACAACAAGCCTTTGAGCAAATTAAACACGAGATAGTTCACGCAGTAGCCCTTGAACCAGTCTGGACTGGGCCAGATGTAAAAAATGTACTGTACACTGCAGCTGGGGAGAACGGTCCTACCTGGAGCCTCTGGCAGAAAGCTCCAGGGGAGACTCGAGGTCGACCCCTCGGCTTTTGGAGTCGGGGATACAAAGGATCTGAGGCCAGCTATACCCCAAATGAAAAAGAGATACCGGCAGCCTATGAAGGGGTTCAAGCTGCTTCGGAAGCGATTGGCACTGAAGCACAGCCCCTCCTGGCAGCCCGGTTGCCCGTGATGGGCTGGATGTTCAAAGGCACGGTCTCCTCTACACATCATGCAACCGATGCTACATGGAGTAAATGGGCTGCACAAATTACACAACGAACTCGAATAGGAAATCCCAGTCGTCCAGGCATTCTAGAAGTCATTATGGACTGGCCAGAGGGCAAAGATTTCGGAATGTCACCAGAGGAGGAGGTGATGCGCGCTGAAGAGGCCCCACCATATAAGAAACTGTCAGAAAGTGAAAAGCAGTACTGATGGGTCCTGCCATATTGTGGGAAAGCATAGGAGATGGAAGGCAGCTGTATGGAGTCCTTGATGACAAGTTGCAGAAATGGCTGAAGGAGAGGGTGAATCGAGTCAGTTTGCTGAGGTGAAAGCCATCCGGGTGGCCCTGGACATTGCTGAATGAGAAAAGTGGCCAGTACTTTACCTCTATAGTGATTCATGGATGGTGGCAAATGCCCTGTGGGGGTGGTTGAAGCAATGGAAGCAGAGCAACTGGCAACGCAGAGGTAAACCCATCTGGGCTGCTGCACTGTGGAAAGATATTGCTGCCAGGGTGCAGAACCTGGTGGTGAAGGTACGTCATGTAGATGCCGATGTGCCCAAGAGTCGGGCCACTGAGGAACACCAGAACAACCAACAAGTGGATAAAGCGGCTAAGATTGAAGTGGCTCAGATGGACTTAGATTGGCAACATAAAGGTGAATTATTTTTGGCCCGGTGAGCCCATGACACTGCAGGCCATCGGTGCAGAGATGCAACATATAGATGGGCTCATGATCGAGGGGTGGACTTAACAATGGACACTATTGCCCAGGTTATTCATGAGTGTGAAACATGTGCTGCAATTAAACAAGCCAAGCGGTTCAAGCCTCTTTGGTCTGGAGGACGATGGTTGAAGTATAAATATGGGGAGGCCTGGCAGATTGACTCTATCACACTGCCGACATCCCGCCAAGGCAAGCGCCATGTGCTTACCATGGTGGAAGCAACCACCGGGTGGCTGGAAACATACGCTGCGCCCCATGCCACTGCCTGGAACACTATCCTGGGCCTTGAGAAACAGATTTTGTGGCGACACGGCACCCCAGAGAGAATTGAGTCAGACAATGGGACTCATTTCCGGAATAACCTTATAGATATTTGGGCCAAAGAGCATGGCATTGAATGGGTATATCACATCCCCTACCATGCACCAGCCTCTGGGAAAATCGAATGGTACAATGGGCTGTTAAAAACTACACTGAGAGCATTTGGTGGTGGGACTTTCAAACATTGGGATACACATTTACCAAAGGCCACCTGGTTGGTCAACACAAGGGGATCTGCCAACAGGGCTGACCCAGCCCAATCAGAACTTTTACATACTGTAGAAGGGGATAAAGTTCCTGTGGTGCACATAAAGAGTTTGCTGGGGAAGACAGTCTGGGTTATTCCTGCTTAAGGTAAAGTGAAACCCACTCATGGGATTGCTTTTGCTCAGGGACCTTGATGCACTTGGTGGGTGATGCGGGAAGATGGGGAAGTCCGGTGTGTACCTCAATGGAATTTAATTTTGGGTGAGAACAGCCAATGAACTCAATTATATTCTGTTGCCTTCTATGTAACTCTCCTATAGCCCATCAGCTAAATGCCTATCTCTGCCACTCTGGGCTTTCAAAAGAAAATATATGCTGCAATGACTGTCAGCAGAGAATAAAGTCAGCAGCAGCAGGAGTCTCCCAGTGCTGTCCTCAGGTCAGCATTGACTGAACCTGACTTCAGTGTGATCATCACCCCAACAAAGAATCAACTTTGATGAGACCAGATGAGATCAGTGGCATCATCAGCAGGCAACAATCCAACACTAAACACTGTCTCTCCTGCCCTGAAACACGACAGATGAATCCCAACATAATGTACTGAATGAACTCAGCGAACATTATAGGGATGGTCCATGGAATAAGGAATGATATCTGTCTCTTTGTGCGCGTGTGTGTGCATATGTGCGTGAGACATATATGTGAGACATATATGTGTGTGTGCATATGTGCGTGAGACAAAAAGCGATGGCGTATTGAAAACAATGTGGGACCTGAGCAAGACATAAATGGGATGGAATAAGGGGTGGATACTGTCCTGGGTTCAGTTGTAACAGTTATTTTTCTCCTTCTTCATAGCTGGTGCAGTGCTGTGTTTTGGCATTAATCCAAGAACAATGCTGATAGCAACAACTAAAACATCGGTGTGTTAAAGTAATGCATACCCTGATCAAGGACTTTTCACAGGAGTGAGTGAGCAGCTGTATGGTTCCAAGTTACTGGCTGGGCTTAAACCAAGACAGGGTCTCAGAAGAGCAGAGTAGACGGGGAGAATCCCCTCTCTCAAGCTGCTGACCATGCTCCTTTTGCTTCAGCAACACAGAGAATTTATTTATCTCCTGCATTAATTCTCACTGCTTTCAGTGAATAAGATCAGTTTTTCTGTAACAATTAAAACCGATATCCAGCAGTTTCATTTACTACAGAACCCAGTTTAACCTCAAACCACAGCTATTCTGTGAACTCAGTAAGGTCAGAACCTTAAGGAAGAAGAATATTCTTAATTGAGACTGTCACAGCAGTGAAGCAGCAAAATGATATATAAAAATGCTACAACTTCAGTTCTCAAGTCTTCTAGCTTTACAGAATCAAGTTTTAAAAGCTAAGTAATCCTTCTGAACAGCTTTTCAAATGTCAGCTATGTATAGTGAACAGGTACACTAGCTATCCATCTACAGCATTTATACTTGCTTAGAAGACATTACAGATTGTCCTCATAAGTTGGAATGACTTTCCAAAGTCAATATATCAGTATTAAACAGAATAATAAAATAGGAAACAAAAATAGTACTGGGTTGGGGCAATCCCAGGCACAGCTACAGGTTGGGCAGAAAAGAGATTCAGAGCAGCCCTGTGGAAAAGGACTTGGGGGTGTTGGCTGATGAGAAAATGAATATGAGCCGGCAGTGTGCGTTCGCAGCCCAGAAAGGCAACCATATCCTGGGCTGCATTAAAAGGAGCATGACCAGCAGGTCGAAGGAGGTGATCCTGCCCCTCTACTCTGCTCTCATGAGACCTTGCTTGGAGTACTGTGTACAGTTCTGGTGTCAGCCTGGAGAAGAGAAGGCTGTGTGGAGACCTCATGGCAGTCTTCCAGTATCTTAAGGACGTCTTCAAGGATGCTGGGAAGGGACTCTTCATTAGGGACTGTATTGATAGGACAAGGGATAACAGGTTCAAACTTAAACAGGGGAAGTTTAGGTTAGATATGAAGAAGTTCTTTACTGCGAGGGTTGTGAGGCACTGAACAGGCTGCCTAAAGTTGTGAATGCTCAATCCCTGTCAGCATTCAAGGCCAGGTTGGATGGAGTCTTAGGTTTAGTGTGGGGTGTCCCTGCCCATGGCATGGGGGTTGGAATAAGATGATCTTAAGGTCCTTTCCAACCTTCACTATTCTATTCTACGATTTATATTTTGGACTTTAGTGAAGCATGCTCATAAGCAGGAAAGGCCTAGGTCAGTGCATCAAGAACCTTGAAAAGGAAGCAGAAAGATCAGTAAAATGCAGATTAACACTTACCTATCCAAAAAAATCTCCCTGGTTAACAATGTATTATGAAGCTCCATATCACTAATTCCATATTTTAAAATGGAACTACTTAGATATAAGAATTTACCTTCATGCTGTGGTTGAATGCCATCTTTATATTTTATTTTACTAAAATTAGTTCTTGGAGACATAAGCCCACTCTCATTGTTTCCTGCTCAGTAATCCCACACTCCCTCAGCACAGGAAGGAATATCTAGCCTCAGACTCTGCTACTTCTGTTACCCACCTGACATTCGTACAGCTTCTTTCTTCCCTTTCTAGCTCCAGCTCCAGACTGACAGGCTGCGAGGTGACATTTGAGCGTGCTATTCCTAGCAAAGCGTTCATGGCAGTTTGGACATTCAAATGGTTTTTCACCTGTTAAGACAGACACAGGGATTTGTAAGCGTATAAAACCAGACAGTTTTCGGTCAGCTCTCCCTTCCCTTCTTCCCCTCTCCCATTTGTGTAGATTGATAAATATGCTGTGAAGACATGGCCAACTGAATTAGTCTACAGAAGAAAAGACATTCTATTTAAAAAAAAAAAAGGAAAAAAAAAGGGCAAAAACCTAAGGTGGACTCATAACTCTCATTTATAAAACAAATAAAACCCAAACCAAGAATGCAGCATAATTCCCAGTGCCATTTAAGGTACATTTAGGTTTTTATGGAAGTTAGATTACTATTCTGATGAAATATCTTAAAGAAACAACAGCTATTTATCTCTTTTCACCTGATAATATTAACAGTTAAAGACTTGACATTAGTATATACTGACACATTAAAGAAGGAAGTATTTAAATAATAAAAGGTTTTATTTTCAAGAACAGCTTATGCTTGAGAGCTGAAACTGAGCTCTTGAAAAAGAAGTTGGCACAAAATGACCATGAAGTAACAATGCATCGGTATTAAAACAAACAACCCCTCCCAAAACTTTCATCCAAAGTAGTATAGCGTTATCATCATCATCAAGTAGTAACAAAGAACAACTTGTGTCCCTGTTTACTAATGTCATCATACACAAATGCAATGAAATTCAAGGAAATTAAAGAGCAAAAAATTAGAAACAGTGTGTTTCTTCTGAAAGTCTAATTATTTTTCTGATGGAGGTACCAATACCAACATAACTACTGAAAGAAAACTACTTAATGAACTCCAAAAGAGGCCAAGACATTTCAGTGAGTAACATCAGAATCTATTATAGCTAGATTAAGTTTAAAAGCCTTTTCAGGAATGCAGTAGTTATTGACTGCAGAGATAGAAAGCCAATAAACCTGTATTTTCAGAAATAAGGATATTCAGGAGTGCCTAACTAGCTTTTAAAAGAAATCCACAAGTAGCATATAATTCTCTCTTATACACCTAAAGGCCACAGAAAAACATTAAGTGGTGGGAACATTCTCCTTAATGCTTACAAAATGCTATGTTTTTGGGGAGTGTTGTACAGGTAATGCAGAGGATGCTGAACTGCCATCAGTCTTGTAGATCAAAAATAACAGACTTTTCACAAGCAACTAAACACATTGGTGAGCCAAGAGGATACTACAGAACAAAACTCACACTACAGACCTTCGCCTGCCGTACAATTTGGTCACATTAAAAGAGTTACTTAGAGCAAAGCACCCCCCAGTTAAGGACAGATTTATTCTATTTTTGCTCAAATTCTTCAATCACCTTCAATGTGTTCTGCCAAAAGTATTTGAAAATGACAATTGAAAGACAACAGTGGTGATATCCAGAGGCCAAAAGACATTGTGTGACTACTTGCACAGTACAAATCAACACTGTGACCTCTGCTGCACCAGTCACAGTAGTGATGGAAAAGAGAGAGCATGTCAACCTGTCTCTAGCTTGAGAAACAGTGGCAAGCTGGGGGGATAGACTCCACTAAAGATGACACCTTACTTCTCTATCCCCAGGTGTCATCCAACTACAAATTTAGTCTGATCTAAGTGAGATTTGAGGAAGAGAAAGGTTTCTGGCCTGATCTAACAATTATCTTTTCTCCATTTATGAAAATAGGTGAGATTTCAGTTGCCAATCATAAGTAACTCACAGGACAGAAATTCTGACCAAAAATAGTCCAATATTGTGCTGTTCCTTTATAATCCTACAGCCAAAGGAAGGCAACTGCCCAAAATAAATATTTCTTAACCCAATGTCCTGGATTCAGCAGTAGAAGTCATTTTTCTCCTTCTTAGTAGCTGGTACAGTGCTGTGGTTTTGACTTTCAGCCTGGGAACAGCGCTGATAACACTGATGTTTTTAGTTGTTGCTAAGTAATGTTTAGTCTGACCAAGGACTTCCTGAGTCTCATGCTCTGCCAGGGAGGAGGGGAAGCAGGCAGGAAGTAGAAACAGGACACCTGACCCAAACTAGCCAGAGGTATTCCATACCACAGCACATCATGCCCAGGAGAGAGAACTGGGGGCAGTTACACAGAAGGGCTACATCACCGCTCAGTTGGGCTGAGTATTGGTCAGCAGGTGGTGAGTGGTTGTACTCTCTTCCCTTGTTATTTCCCTTATCATTATTATTGGTGGTAGCAGCAGTGCTTTCGTGTTATACCTTAGTTACTGGACTGTTCTTATGTCAACCCATGGGAGTTGTATTCTTTCAATTCTCCTCCCCATCCCTCCAGGAGCGAGGGGGGGGGGGGGGGAGAAGTGAGAGAGAGACTGCGTGGTCTGATTTATGGCTGGGCTTAAACGACGACAGTTATTTTTGGCACCCAACGTGGGGCACGAAGGGTTGAGATAATGACAGAACTGACCAGAGTGTGTCAAATCGTATTTGTGATAAGCATTTACTGTTTTGGATTAATAGTCACTCATCACAATGCTGATTTATTGGTTCTCAAAGTTGTCACACTTGATCTCAGAGTTTCAGCATGTCGTTCCTTACTTACAGCCGTTATTTGCTGTGTTAGTGTTTATTGGCTGGGGCCTTGGGCTAAGGTTCTTGTTTCACTGTACTTTATGGTAATGACTTGTAATACAATAGACTCATTGATCGTGAAACTGATCTGACTTGCGCTCCCAGTGCAGTCACCACCTCTATACTTTGGGAGGTATATAATGGAAGTGTATAGCAATTACACATCCTTTTTCCACTCTTCGGGTGGTCAGCCTACGAGGGAGACATTCCCACACACCCCTGCAACAAGTGCAGCAGCTACTCAAACTCCAACCGCAGCAGACAACACAGCTACTCCAACTCCAAGCACAGCAGCTACACCAGTCCCAGTAACAAGTACAGCAGCATCATTTGAGAGCTCTGAAGGTTTTGAACGGCCTTTGGGTACCCTTGAGAACTGCCTGCTGATTGTGATGGGGATCAGCATGTTGGCACACATACAGAGTGCATTTTACCCATGACCATTTTGTCTGATCTCGAAAGTTAAGCAGTCATGTTTGGGTCTTGTCTAGGGTTAGATGATGATATAGGAGGATGAAGAGATTTTCCCCAAGGCTGGACAGTCATGAGTGGCAGGGTGTGTGGGACAGTATGGGCGAGTATCTAGTCCACTGAGCCCCTCCAGTGCTTTGGAAGCATCGGAGATGGAAGGCAGCTGTATGGAGCCCCCAACAACAAGTTGCAGAAACTGCTGAAGGGGAGGCTGAATTATTTTGAGCCTGGTGGGCCCATGACACCTCAGGTCATCAGGGCAGAGATGCAACATACAGATGGACTCACAGTCGAGGGTGGACTTAGCAATGGACACTATTGCCCAGGTTATTCACGAGTATGAACAAGTCCACTACCTGTAAAACACATTTTAGATTTTTAAAGAATGGCTGTCCTGGGTTCAGCAGTATCAGTAATTTTTTCCTCCTTAGTAGCTGGTGCAGTGCTGTGTTTTTGACTTTCAGCCTGGGAACAGCACTAATAACACCGATGTTTTTAGTTGCTGCTCAGTAATGTTTACTCTGACCAAGGACTTCCTGAGTCTCATGCTCTGCCAGTGAGGAGGGGAAGCAGGCAGGAAGTAGAGACAGGACACCTGACCCAAACTAGCCAAAAAGGTATGCGTGCTGTGTGGTTCTGTGTTGCCAGCTGGGCTCTAAACTATGACAACAGCAAAGACCTTAATTAATTTTCTTAATAAGTTTGTACAATCTGCATACGAATTACTTCAGTTACAGTGTTTTTAGACAAGGGCTTTGAAAAATATTCTGCAATCAAAATTCCCAGTAAAATCGGAATCAAAGCTGTTCAGTGTCTCTTTCTGCTAGGGAATATAAGCTTTGCAAAATACCATGACAATCACAATGAGCAGTAGCTTCAATCAAAGACTGATTCACCTCCTCACACTAAGGTGAATCGTCTTGTGTTTTACTGCCTGGCCATTGCTCCTTGTCCTGTCACTGGGCACCACTGAAAAAAGTCTGGTACCATCCTCCTGCCACCCACTTCTCTCAATCTCCTCTTCTCAAGACTAAACAGTCCCAGCTCCAAAATTTCTACTCATAAGAAAGATGCTCCAGATCCTGATCAGCCTTGGGCGCCCTGCAGGACCCTGTCCAGTAGCTCCTTGTCTTGTACTGAGGAGCCCAGAATTGGAAACAGTGCTCCAGATGTGACCTCACAAGGGTCATGTAAGAGGGGGAGGATCACCTCCCTCAACCTACTGGCCCCACTCCTCCCAATGCACCCCAGGATACTATTGGCCCTCCTAGCCACAAGGGCACACTGCTGGCTCAAAGTCAACATAGAATGCACCGATACTCCCAGGTCCTTCTCAGCTGAACTGCCCTCTAGCAGGGCAGCCTCCAACCTGTACTGGTACTTAGTGCTCTTCCTCCCCAGCTGCAGTACCCTACACTTAGAATCATAGAATAGAATCATAGAATCGTTAGGGTTGGAAAGGACCTTAAGATCATCTAGTTCCACCCCCCCTGCCGTGGGCAGGGACAGCTTACGCTAAATCATATCACCCAAGGCCTCGTCCAACCTGGCCTTGAACACTGCCAGGGATGGAGCATTCACAACCTCCCTGGGCAACCCATTCCAGTGCCTCACCACCCTAACAGGAAAGAATTTCCTTCTTATATCCAACCTAAACTTCCCCTGTTTAAGTTTTAACCCGTTACCCCTTGTCCTATCACTACAGTCTCTAATGAAGAGTCCCTCACCAGCACCCCTATAGGCCCCCTTCAGATACTGGAAGGCTGCTATGAGGTCTCCACACAGCCTTCTCTTCCCCAGGCTGAACAACTCCAACTTCCTCAGCCTGTCTTCATACGGGAGGTGCTCCAGTCCCCTGATCATCCTCGTGGCCCTTCTCTGGACTTGTTCCAACAGTTCCATGTCCTTTTTATGTTGAGGACACCAGAACTGCACACAATACTCCAGGTGAGGTCTCACAAGAGCAGA